GTGATGATGATGTTGATGGAAATGGTGTCCCGGCGATAATGATGTTGATGATGATGATGATGTTGATGATGATTATGGTGTCCCGATGATGATGCTGATGATGATGATGGTGATGATGATGATGGTGATGCTGATGGTGTCCCGATGATGATAATAATGAGAATGACGATGCTGATGATGATGTTGCTCATGATGATGATGGTGCCCAATGATGATGATGTTGTTGATGATGATGTCGATGATGATGATGATGCGATGATCATGATGATGGTGTCCCGAGCATGATGACGATGTTGATGATAATGTTGATGATGAGAACGATGGTGATCATGATGGTGTCCCGATTGTGATGATGATTCTGATGATGCTGCTGATGATGATGACGATGATGGTGTCCCGATGATGATGATGATGACGATGATGATTCCGATGATGTTGGTGATGATGATGTTGATGGAAATGGTGTCCCGGTGATAATGATGATGGTGATGATGATGTTGATGATTATGATGTCCCGATGATGATGATGCTGATGATGTTGATGATGAGATGATGATGGTGATGATGATGATTTTGTCCCGATGATGATGCTGACGTTGATGATGTTTATGATGATGATGATGATGATGATGATGACGGTGCCCTCATGATGATGACGATGTTGGTGATGATATTGATGTTGATGATGTTGATGATGATGATGATGATGATGATGATGATGATGACGTTGATTGTGAGAGCGATTGTGATATCGATAGTGAGATCGATATTGAGACCGAATGTGAGATCGATTGTGTGATCGATTGTGAGATCGATTGTGAGATCAATTGTGAGATCGATCGAATGAGATAGATCGAGTGAGATCGATTGTGAGATCGATCGAGTGAGATCGATCGAGCGAGACCGATAGTGAGATCGATACTGAGATCGATAGTGAGACCGATCGAGTGAGACGTTGGTTCCCCCCCCCCCGAACCTCCTTATCACCCGAAGGGTGGTCGTATAGGTAGTACTAATTATGTTGGGGTGACGCCGATTCTAAGAAGGCGAAGGGGCTTCTTAGGAGGCAGGGGCCTTTGTAGATGGCCCTGGAGGTTTCGAACGAGCCGAGTTTCTGATCAGCCCCTCTGCCTTCTCAGACCAGAACTCCCGACCCCTTCTCTCGGGTGAGTGTTCCGTCCTGGATCCGTGCTGGATGTCCCTAGGGCCTGGCAACGGCCCACAGAGGCCAACATCGAACAAAAACACACAGGTCAAATGCCGAAAGCGCTGTCCTAACGCATGCAGTGCCTGCGCACTCCAGCCCTTCAATCGGCTTGATCGTGGATGTTTCCCTCAACCAGGGCGGCGTGCTTGACGCACTCATCCCGCGGGCGCCCCACCTTCCGGACGTATTCTGCGGCATAGGCATCTGCGCAGCCGGGAGGAAGGTCCTCGTCCTGCGCAGCTCGTCACCTGCCAGTAATCTCGCCACCCTGCCGTACAGCAGCAGCTGCTGTTTCTAGGGGGCAAACAAACCTACCCCGCTTTTGACCACCCTCGCTTCCAAGAGATACCAAGCGATGCCAAACTACGGCCTGTACTGGTCATGCCGCTTGACGAGGAGGCGCGTGGTATGACTTGGTTCTGCCTGGAAGCGAAAGCGGGGTAGGTCATTCACGCTCTGAGTTTCAGGAAGCGCGGCGGGATCGGAACGAAAAGCACCGCCGGAGCTCTGGGCCTTTGCTGGCGCTGGCGCCTGCTGGCCAGCAGGGCGCCGGCTGCCGAGGCCGGGCGGGGCCCGATACAGTACTCGGCCTGACCTAAGGAGCGATAAATAAGGAACGAAGCCCCTTTTATAAGGAACGATAACTAACACATAACGCATAAGGAACTGTAAATAACGTATGGGAACCTAAGGAACGACCGAGCCCCTTTTGAAAAGTAAGTGTTCCTTATTCAAGCCGCTCACTGTACGCGCCCGCACGCCGTGGCGCCCGGCCTGGCCGCCCGTGCGGCGCCGTCGCGGCGCACCTGCGCGCGCTCTTCTGGAGGGGCGTCCCTCGGAGCGCTGTCTTGCAGAGTGGTCCAGGTCTGGGTCTACGAGTGCTGCTACGCAAAGAGAGGAAGCTCCGAGAAACAACGCCCTGGGTCCCATCCAGATCATTGCCTTCCCTGGTCTGGGGTCCAAAACAATCAGAGGGCAGAAAATCCACCCCCATCAGAATCACTCAACATGCGAAGCCGCTTAGTAAGCGCTCCCAGGGAAGGAATCGAACAGGGCAGGGCTGTTTAGTAAACGCCCAGGGCCGTTTAGGAAACGCCAGTTGTCGAGTCTGGGTGGTTTTTCCTCCCTTGAAAAATGGATGCTTTCTCTGAAGCTTTCTCTGGCGGGTGTGCCTCCTTCCCGGGCTGCGCCCCGCCGCTGCGGCCAGGTTACCTTCTGCTTGCGGCGGCCCCCGCGACATGCCGCCCCCTGCTGATGGCGTGCCGCCCCCCGCCTCGTGGGGCGGGAGGCTTCGTCGGGATCCACCACAGGAGGGGGGGGTCTCATGAGGGGATGACTTGAATCCGCTGGTGCACTGAACTGCCACAAAAAAGATGCCCCCCGCATGCCCCACCTACCGGCAACTGCCAGGAGCTGCCGGCGGCTCGGGGGGCACCAGTTTTGGGCGGCTCGGTGCAAAAGCCGATCGACCTCACTCACTCACTCACTCACTCACTCACACACACACACCCTGGGGCACACACATACCCCTTTGCGGGAGCCCGACTCCGGCAGGCTGGGGACGTTGCCGCTCGGGCGCCGGAGCGTGGTCCGCGCGCCGGCGCCGCCGCGCGGTGGGCCAGAGCCGCCGGCGAGCAGCTCTCGAGAGCACCTCGCCGACCGAGAGGCCCTTCGGTATGCCGAGATCACGCCCACGTGCCGCCACCGCGCGGGCGAGAGGCCCCCGAGAGCCGGGCGTGGCGCCTCCCAGCGTGCCCCCGGCAGCGCCTCGGCCTCAAGGAGCGGCCAGGCGGCCGGGATCCCACCGCGGCCCCACGGCTCGGAGGGGGCGAGGAAGGAGAGACGAGATCGGAGGCCAGAACTGGCGGCGCGTCACGCTTTGCCAACGCTCTCGACTGCAGAAAGGAAGACATGCGTAAAGATCAACGTTCGACGCTCCGTTCGGATTCCATGGATCTGCGCTGGACCCCCTCCCTGGGGAGGAGGCGTAAGACTCGGGTTCGGAGGACTCCGGTTCGGAGGACTCGGGCTGGCCTGACGGGGCCGTCAGGAACATGACGAGGCCGAGTCTGAAATTTGACGCGAACTCCCGCTGCAAACATCCCACGAAAACTTGACCGTCAAAACTCAGGACGGGCTCTTCCAAAAGCGTCGGCAAACCCGAGCTCGGGCGATCTCGAGTCCTAAGCTTCCCCGATTCGAACACAAGAAGGCCCCGCCGGTCACGCGTAGCCCGCCATCCTCCAGACTTCCGCGGCCGCCGGCGGGACTGCCTCCCGTCCGCGCGTCCGCGCTCGCGACGGACAAGCTCCCGTCCTCGACGCCCGCGAGCTCCCGTTGCGAGCATCTGACGAAAAGCCCAGCGCAGTGCGCGTGCCAGCCACGGCCACGCCCTGCAGGGTGACAGCACGCTTCGTGACGAGCCGCCTCCTGCCCCCCCCCCCCCCTCCCTCCCTCGCCCCAGCAGGTGCTGCTGGCCTCAATGAGTGTTCTGCGAGTGGCGTGCCGGCCTCTGCTGACAGGCTCCCAGCTTCACCCGCGTCGACCATCAAACGCCGTCCCCCTTCCCTCCCTCCCGATAGAACGGGCCCCGTGGAGGCCGAACAATGTAGGAGAAACGTCAAGATTGGGTCGGGCATGTCCTCCGACAGACGGATCCTGGAAGAAACATGGGACAAACAAATATGCAAACATAGCCAAAAGTAGTCGAAACATCGTCGCCAGCTTCTTTTTTGCCTATTCATGAAGATGTCTCCAGTGGAGGGCCATGCCCGACTTCACTGCGGGAGAAACAGCGGGACTGACAAAACCAGATCATCGAAGATCTGGGGTCGTAGCGGGCGCCAGCGCATGGGCGCCGCTGAGAGGAGGGCGGGGAACGCCAGGCACGCGCTGTCCCTGTCCTGGTGCGTTCAGTGCGGGGCCCCCGAATGGTCCGACCCGTCTGTCCTTCCTTCCCCACCGCCTGACTCATGCCCCGGACGGCTGCACTTGCCCACTGTGGTGTGCATCACTCTCCACCGCGATAGCTCCGGACTCAAACACAGGAGCGCTGCCCAGCAAAAGCGTGCCACGGCTCGTGCACGATCGCTCCATCCTGCTTCCCCGGGACTGGCTGCTCCTCCTGGGTCGATTCTGGGCGCTCCCG